AGAGAGAGAGAGAGAGAGAGAGAGAGAGAGAGAGAGAGAGAGAGAGAGAGACAGAGACAGAGACAGAGACAGAGAAAGAGAGACAGAGCGAGACATAGAGGATGTGGGGAGCCAGCTGTAACAGATGACGGGACAATAATACTATCGAGTTTTGTCTCGCTGCTTGGTGGCGCGTGGGAAGACAGTCTTTAGATATATGAAGCCTTTTAAAAATGTTGAGATGAATGTGGGTGGGCAGGTCGTAAATCGGAGCTGGAACTTAAAAGGGGAAAGAGACAATATTCTTTTAGAAGTAGGGAAGATGAAATGACGTGAAAGATTTTTTTCTCTCTTTTCTTTTTTTCCTTCGTTCTTTCTTTCTTTTGTTCCTTTTTTTTTTGCCGGGGATGTATGAAAGTAGTAACTTCGAAACGCTCTCGGATGGTTGGTAATGTTTAAATAGTATACACTTTTGTGCGTGTGGATTCAGTTCGAATTAGGCCAGATTGGACAAGGTGCGTCCTATGAAAAGCTTTGTAAGTCCACGCTGCTACTACTGGGCGTTTGGTTGTCGGCATGGAGGGAAATGTGTAGATTCCGAAGCCGGGAAGATATCGAGTATATTATAATATCTCTTGATCTGCTGGGAGATATCCCACACATCCCGAGTTAGCCCAGACAGGCAAGGTCAAATTAGTTTTCCTCCTAAACTATTTATCCGTAGTAGATGAGACGAGTAAATATTTACGGCAAAAGGTATGTGAGTGTTAGCTTTTGAGCGACGGGCAGTCTGTTATGCTCTGTGTTCTTAATTTGGGGGGGGGGGGGTGTCAGGTGGATATCTACTGAGATGGTAGATTGGAATGAAGAGGCCACTCAAGGTAGTAGTTCGAAGTTGTGTGAGCTTTTTTGTAGAAGAGATGCAAGACTAAACACCATCACTTTAGCTCGAAATGTGTACACACTTACAAGCTCACGAATAAATTATATTGCTTGTCAGTCGAAATGAATGAGACCTTCGGAAGACTTTCCAGCTAACTGGCGGACAGACAGACAGACAGACAGACAGACAGACAGACAGACAGACAGACAGACAGACAGACAGACAGACAGACAGACACTTACATTTATGGATAAACAAACGCCTAGGTGAGTCGAAAGACTCAGACGGACAGAGATGATGGTGGTAAGACGACGTTGTGGGCGGACAGACTGACTGGCAGATGAAAAGACAGACTTATGGGCGGATATTCTGTCTTATTGGTGAATGGGCAGGCAGACGTGTCTTGTATAGACATAGTTTATGAAGCGAGGTGGGCGGGAGTGGTCGGTAGAAGGCGCTTCAAAGATTTATGCACAATGCTGTTGCAGTTAAATCAATACTTAAGCTTATGAAGTATTTTACCATAAAGCATTGAGGGTTGAGCTCAAGATTTACACACATATCGTGCATCGTTTCTGGGTTACAATACGCTCCTAGCGATGTGGTTTTGGCATCGTTTTTGGAAAATGAATCGGTTTATGTGCGCTTTTTTGTGGTGGTATTATTGGACTCTGACATTTCCGTGGTTACAAGAATAACCAAAACAACTGTGTTTTGTGTCGTGGTTTGGAGAAACAACTTCCATGATATCACGTGGTTGGGATTATTGTTTTGTTTTTGTTTTTTTAGGGGGGGGGTAGGTTTATGGGTAAGGGTTGGGTTA